GGGGGGAGGGTTGCTTTTTATTTTTGGGATAAATAAATATATTTTCGCTTTTGCTGTTTTCACAGCATAGAATACGAAGTTACATTCAAAATAAAACTGAATATTTTACAAGGATTTGTATGAGAATTAGAACTATACGTATCAGCTGTGAAACTGCATGTTTTAATAGCATGCCATACTCATAAATAAAAACCCTAAACATTTATCAAGCCCTTATCGGTTGGTTAAGTTTAATGCTACAAGGAAGCTTATGTAATGGTTAGAATTATAGTAAGAATCGCATCGGCTCTTCAACTATAATTTTCTTTGTAGTAGTGTGAAAGAAGAATGAAATATCAAATCAACATCTGCATTCGCACTATCCTATCACATGAAGGTCAGGTTCTCGATCGAGTATGCCGGAATATCCTCATAACTCAACCACTGCACAGTCGTCTTATGAATACCTAAGTTATCTATCATCTACAGAAGTTCCATAAACAATACCAAAATGTATTTTTAAGTCCTAATAAAGACAGCGGTGGCAATTGAAGCAAATCTTACTTTATATGATTCTCAATGACGAATTATTGTTGGAAATGTAAACACATCAACCTTTGCCAAGTTACCAACGCTGGATTTCGAATTCACTGCTATCGACAAAGTTTTGGGCTGTACTTCGATAAAACCTTGGAAGACTGCAGATTGGGCGCCCTCTTAAGGCTTTAATATGTGTTTTTTTCTTCGATAAAGTACAGTTTACTCGGAAACCAGAACTGACAAAGCGTCACGACTGAACAAACAAATCAAACAACACCTTGCGTGACCCAGACCGCACAAGTAAATTATTAATGATCAAGGGAATTACACTAATTAGAATTTTCAAGATGTATGAAAAAATAATAATTAGACCCGTAAAGAAATCGAACTAATAAAAATATAAAGGAAAGGAAAGGAAAGGAAAGGAAATGATAGAAAAGAAAATGGAAAAAAGGATGAAAAGATGGAAAAGGGGGAAATGAAAAAAAGTCGAAAGGAGAACAAGCGAATTTTTGCAGTATTATATATATAGTTCATTTTTTATTCAACTCTCTTTGCACATCTGAAGATGACAACGAGAAAATGGTATGCGAGAAGAAAAAGAGAGAAACTATATGAGATAAAGGAAATGTCGAAAAGAGTTTTTGTTTTGTTTAGACATTCCCTTAATATCATACGGAATCGAGTTCCGAAGTCTAACACCCGATTTGAGAATTAGATTAATTGTACATTTAATTTATTACGTGCCCTTATGGCTTTGTGTTTTCCGACAATGTTATGGAAACGCCTTGTGATTGACGTCCACCAAAACCTTCTTCGTCGCAACAGAAAAAATCACGAGGGAGCGCCGTGAATGAGAATGGCTGTGTAAAAGAAAGTTTCGAAATTTCCGGTGAGAAATAAAAATAAAAATGGCCCGACAATTTCCGGGAAAATTCTTCGAAAATTTGGGACTACAGATTAGGTGGAGCACTTTCTTATTGACAACATCATGCATTAATGAAATTGTTAGAGATTGACTGGAATGTGGGATTTCATTTGCTAATTTTTGACCAACGGAATCAAAATGTTTATTCAAGATAAAGGTTATTTTATCACGTTTATCAATAACGTAAGGCGTTGATTTTTAATTTTCATTAAAGTTCTCAAACCTTGGGTTATCAATATTTTAAAATAACAGTCAAAAATTTTAATTTCACGCTTAGTAGGCCGTCTCATAGGTCAAAAATTTATTGATAAGTGAATTGAATTTTTTTATAAAAACATGAAAAAATTTGATCGATACTTACGATTTTCAGAAATCAAATCAAATTCAGATAGTTCTGATAAAAATTGATCTTTGGAAATTTCGAAAATTTTCTCACTTTCTTATTCGTTTTCGTTAGATTTTCCTTATTGAAGTTATACAGAACTTAAGTCATCACTAATGTCAGAAACCGCCACATTTCCACTAATAGGTGTGTGTTCAGGATTGTTAGTGGATATGTTGTTAATAAGAGTACTAGCTGAATTGTGATATACTGTAGTTGGCTTATCTAATAGTAGGGAGGAATAAATGATAGTCTGTAGTGAGAGTAACAAATCATGACTAAAGTCGGCGCCATCTTGGTTTTCAGTTCAAAATCCTTTCTAAGGATTCGATCTTACTTTAAGTAAAATTAAATAGTAAAAGTAAAATAGGTCGCTGTTTTCTTTTTAAAGTGCTTCAATATTGTTAGTCATTTAGAATACGACAGGATTAGAGATATTGGAGTAGTCAATTGTAATTGGTTACTTCCTCCCTTCGAGTTCCTTCCTTCCTTTTCCTTCTTTTAATTACTTTTGTATTTATTTTGTAAATCTGTTAGTCCTCCCTTACTTCTATCTGTCTTCAAGTGGACTCTTTATTTCATACTTTCTTTCTTCCATATTTGCCCGTTCCGCGTTTTGTATCTTTTTATTAACACTCTTTTCATGCCGGCTTTTGCTTGTTTAATAAAAAATAATGATAAACCTTACCGAGTCTAATTTACTCAATACCTACTTACCCACTGCTGGGATATGCACCAACCAATAGAGAGGACACTGCCATTAAAAGACAAGCAAGCGAGAACACTTTGTTACGAATTGACGACATTATGCTTGTGACCAATATTCAGCTTTTTCACAATGAACTTCATAGCCGAAATGTAATATATAATAAATGTAATGCGGTGTATTCAGCTTTGTTTGAACTGCACTGCCGTCGGTATAAAAGCATAGCTCACGGAAGGCTTGTTTGGACAGGCGACTTTGCGGTGACAATTTTGTTTTTGTTTTTTTTGTGGGTTTTGAGGCGAACCTTTATAGTGTCAATATCAATGTCTTGATATGTTGCCTTGAAGTCGCTTTAACCCTCCAGTTGTCTAAACAGACAGACATATTATTATCATTATGATTTATTTGTGACCCCCCCCCCCCCTTATCCTCCGTCGGGACCCCCTGTCCCGTGGCCAGGCGATAAGTAATGACCGATTAAACTTGATTCCAATCGAACAAATTTCTATGAAAGTGAAAAGGTGCATTTTTTTCTTTTTTCTCATTAAGATTGCGGCGTTTCTTGCGACCATTTTTTTAATTAATGACAATTCAATATCATCAAAAGTATATAAGTCGCAAAGTCATACAAAAGCCATAAATATCAAAAGTAGCCTGATAAAACAGACGCAAAGTCATACAAAAGTCGCGCGACTCTGTATGAACAAGCCTCAATCAGATGGCTAATGATAAAATTATATCTAAATCAGAGAAGGAGAAGACTCTACAACAACAACGTAACATTACCTGTTGTGTATATGAAGGATTTGCAGCGGCAAAACCGTCACTACAACAACTGGAAACTATATCAAACCAGGTTATTAAACCTTGTATTCTATTCACAATTTTTCTTTCTTTTTTTTTTTTTTTTTTTTCTTTTTTCATAGTATAGTTGCAAATGCTTGACAAATACAGCTTTAATAGTCAAGTTGTTATTCTTTTTTTTAACATAAATTCAAAATCACGGCAAACAACAACAAAGACAACTTTTAAAACTGAAAAAATAAAAAATAAAAAATAAATTCAGTATTAGAGTGCAGCACTAACTCTGACTATAACTAATCTACTTTTTTTTATTCAACTTTTTTCATTTGGCGGATAATTAATTTCGTTTATTGGTCATTAGAATAACTGTTTACTCAGCCGTGGACTATCATTCAGTTAATTTAGCAGAATGATTTTTAATTTCGAATATTTTATTAAGCTAAGACCTTTTTAATGAAAGCTATAGGAGTCGACATGCAATAAATCACACAAATATACCCATTTTTCCGAATTCGCTTGAGAGACCAGTCGATAAGGCGAGTTATAAAATAACTGTTATGAATGTCGCGTTCTGATTGGTTTGGAGCGCGTGCTTTATGAGAGCACATTGCACGCGCGCGCACTTTCCGTTGTGTCATTCCTATCTATTATTGTAATTTGTGGTTTATAAAAGAAATAAAAAACTTGCTTGCTGTGCTGTGTGCAGTCATGAAGCACTTGGAGATTGGCAGCACACTCGAGAAGTGTCGAGAAGCACTCCGCTACGCGTCGTACTTCTCCTAACACTTCTCTCATGTTCTGCCAACCCCCGCGTGCTTTATGACAGCACACAGCACGCGCGCGCGTTTTCTATTTCTTCAATAAAGAAATCTATGAACACAAAACTCGACATCGAACCTTTGCTTCATGTCACTCTGAATTATGTTCAGGAAAGGTCTAAAAGACGATGTAATTATATAACAGTTGCAGCTAAGATACTTCCATGGCTAAGTGTGTGTTAGAACTCAAATTTTATTTAATCATTTTTTGTAGCACAAGTAATGTTACACTAGTAGAGTTAATGGAAAAACTCCAGTTTTTTCAAGTTTGAAATTAGATTCGAAATGTGAAAAAAATGCTTGTGCGGCAAACTATGGAGTCTTTTATTTGGTCACCACCTCAGTGAATTAGTTTTCTGACTGTTCGCATTAGTCAAAGTCACGATACCAAGCAATGGCATTTTTCTCATTCAGATGTTTAACAGTAGTGTAGCTGCAAGATAATGAACTGCAAAATAGATTGTGGTAACTGGTAACAGAGTCAAGATTGTCAAGAAGGAATAAAAGAAACAGTAGAGGAATGCTGATGATTTAATATCCCTACTTAGACCTCATCATATGTTTACATGTCATAGAACACAAACTAATAATAATCCCTAATCACGCAACCCTAACACAACCCGGACTGTGTTGGATATATAAATTATGAACATCAATTTTGAACTAATAAAAAGCACGACCTAATGAAAAATAGCTTGAGTAATAAAAATTGATATAAAAATAACGAAATAATACGCCTGTCTTTACGACTTCATCTTTCTTTCACTCACTTCGTACTATTAAGTGTTTAGTTTAGATTAAGCACCTTTGATTGTAAATTTTAGCTTATGTTAAGTCGGCTGTGTTTATTTTTTTCAATTATTACCTGCTTGAACGTACTATTTCGCTAATATTCATACTAGTATTAAATCGTATTTCAAGAAGTTCTTGTATTAGACCTAAGAAAAAGTATGAACTAAATAAAAAGCATTTACTAATGAAAATCGGGTGGTAATTAAAGTACTACTTTATAGTGTGCTAATAAAAAGTACGCGTTAAGGAACGGACGATATCGTGCAACCTCTTCTTTCAGAAAACAAAATACAAACAAACATCGAGCAAAGACAAAAGACATTGCGTGCAGGGGTTGCTACAAAAAAGAAAATAATAATATCCTGCAACCCCCCATCCGAATTATCGAATGCGTTTTCCCTTATAAAAAGTATGGGCTAATAAAATGTATGCGTTAATAAAAAGTATGGGCTTATAAAAAGTATGGGCTAATAAAAAGTATGGGCTAATAAAAAGTATGGGCTAATAAAAAGTAT